CTGATGGTAGGTCTTGACTATCTGGCATATGCTAATAACGATTTAGTTAAGGAGCATATACTTAATGGACCGAAACGTCTTACCTCAGCCTTACCCGTTGATCTTACGTCCGATTGCAGTATTCCAGATTTTTACCAGTGAGCATCCAGGGCTGACCCGATTGTCGTAATTTAACTGCCATCAAAGCGTTCGTGAATCGCAGAGGGATTAGTTGTAAGCGCTTGGGAGAAATGGTAATAAATCAGTGTATGCGAATTTTGCTATAAAGTTGACGAATCATTGGGTAGTTTTCTCGGGACTGCGCAAGTGAAATTTTTTTGCAGTGTTAAATGAACCCAGATGGCAGCCAGGAACACTGTTCTGGTCATTTCGAGATCCGTTCCGTCTTTTCAACAGCGAAAAACAATTTGTCATTGTTAAGTTTGTCTTACTTTCTTCGCTCTCTCGAAATTAATTTTTCTGGTCACTGTTGCAAATTGGGTCATCTGAAAAATAGATCAACAAAAAAAGTGAACACTGCCGGTGATATATGAGAGAAAATATCCGCGAAAATTCATCGAAATTTTTTCTGACATTGTGCATTGTTTCAGGAATATACTGTCGCAAGCATTTGAAAAATGGTCAAAATCATCGGCTGGCGCCCTAGCATTCGAAGATCGCTCTCCGGCACGCCGGGATGCTCGCAAAAGTATTGCGCATCTCGATATCTTGTTTGCAAAATATGCACATGGTGATAAGGAATCGTTTGATGGACTGGGCGGCATAGTGGCTCATTCTGGATACCCCAAAGAAGGCATCATACATTTCGATGGGTCCGAGTTTTGGTCAGTGAACGGACGTCGCGGACTCGACCTTCGATATGTTCGCTTTACTTTACTCCCATTTCCTGTGTGATGGAAATGAAATCTATTTGAAATTTGCCGTCTAGGAATGATCGTTCCTTTTTCAGGTAGCACTTCACGAAATCGGGCACGCGCTGGGCCTCAGACATTCAAGGGATCCGAGAGCTGTCATGAATCCCTACTACCGGTTCATACATTGATGCGTTTTTTCAGAATTTTTAGCAACAGAAAATAAAGATTATCTTAGCAATCATAGGCGGATCCAGCGCTTGGGGGAAATGGCGGGGGAGCAGGGTTTTGACGCCTCCTACCTCCCCACCGGCACAAGTATTAGTGCTACAAAGCCCGGATCTAGAGCTAAAACTAAGGTAAACTGAAGCCTAAAGTAGCTCTAAGCGGCAGTGTTACAGCTTTATTCCTAGTTATGCGTTTTTGCCTATATGCAAATGCAAAAACGCAAATTGTGACGACCCCGGTGTATTTGTGGGTGTGTCTGTCCGGATATTTCAACTCGGTACCCAAGCAAGCTCCGTCGCTAAAATTTTGCCAGTGGCTTCCCCGGCCAAGTGCTACCCCAGGATTACGGCAAGTCTGGCCCCGTATACGACAGGGATAAAGTTTTGGCAGGAAGATCGCTAACTCGGGAACCAGAAAAGCTAGAAAGCTGAAATTATGGGGTCATGTCCCCCACCCAACTGAAACTCAACGATTTCATATTCAGCACCAGGTGTGTTTCCCGCGCATGGCCCCGTGAGGGATTCTGGCGCGAAAGTCGATAACTTGGGGACCAGGAAAGCAGGGAGGCTGAAATTTTCAGAGAATGTTCCTAGCACAATTG